TGACACCCAGCTAATTTTTGTATTTTTAGTAGAGATGGGGTTTTATGTTGCCCAGGCTGGTCTCAAACTCCTGACTGACCTCAAGTGATCCACCCGCCTCGGCCTCCCAAAGTGTTGGGTGAGCCACCGTGCCTGGCCCTTTCTTCTTACTTTCTCACTGCATGTGAACATAATTTTAGGTTTATATTACGTTGCTTGTTTTCCTCTGAAAGCCTGACTACAATGCAAGCATACCTCGTGATCAAAATCTATTCAGATCCCGAGTTCAGAAAATGAAAGTTGAGATGGTAGGTTTGGATATGGAGAGATACCGAGTTATTCAAATCTATTTGGTTCTTGTGTTTCAGAGAGTGAGTATTGAGAATTCGGACAATGAGGGGTTTATCAGAAAATTACAATATCTTTTCAGTTACCGATAGTGAGGATCAGGAGAGGAAAGATGGCATTTCGTTCCTCACCTGACCAAGTATTACATTATGTTCATGGAATACTGGGTCTTTTCCAGAATCAAGAAGTAAAGTAAAATCCTAGATCTTAAAGGTTACTACCATTCCACAAGGATACACTCCCAGAATCTAATGTACCTAGGAATTTTGTGTTGCTATCCCTTTTCCAGCAGGCCTCACTGGGATTATTCCAGCTATAGCTCCTTTATTCATAGTTCTCTTGATAATGAGCAGTGCATTGAGGAATACTGATATTTTAAATTTTGTCCAAGATATGCACACAAGGTTTTCTGAATCGGAGACAGATTTTGTGAATACCCCACAGTGAGTAAAAATGTATTGGCCCTCCTTTGCCCTAGTCCTTGACTCCCTAGGGCATGCAGGCCTAAGCCGCTTGTCCTGAGTAACTGCATACTTCATAGGTAAGAGATGAGGACAAATACTTTCTCTTTGCTTATAAAGGGGGAAGAGACAGCTATTCCCTCCTGTGCTGAATGTGTCTCTTTGAAATGTTACGAATATTAACACCAACTCTTTGGTATATAAATAAAATCTCTTCAGGAGCCATTTATTTAGCCCTCTTGGACCAAGAGATATTTCCAAATTCCTGAGAACTCATTCCGTACTGAAATGTAAATACCTAGGGAGATCTCCATAGTCTTCTTGGCACCTCTGGACTTAACCTAGGAACCTCTCTTTGCTGTAATCTCTTAATCTACCCCACTTGATGCTCTTAGGGAGATAAAATAAGTTTTATTATTGGGGAGCAGAGCAATTAACTAGATAAATGGCTACAGATCTAAATCTTAAGGTATGCGAAGAGTAAAATATTTGGGGGGGTATGAAATTAAACATTCCCTTATCTTTATATCGTATACATTTTTGTATATTAGAAGGCTAGGACTTTTTGCAGTAGTGCTTAGAAATCCAGGGAAGTTTTTTCATCCAGGGAGACGATAAACGAAGTAAGATTATATTGACTTTATTTTTTTTTGGGACGGAGCCTCGCTGTGTCGCTGCACTGGAGTGCAGTGGTGTGGTCTTGGCGCACTGCACTTTCCGCTTCCTGAGTTCAAATGATTCCCCTGCCTCAGACTCCAGAGTAACTGGGATTACAGGCGCCCACCACCATGCTCGGCTAATTTTTGTATTCTTAGTAGAAACGGGGTTTCACCATGTAGGCCCGGCTGGTCTTGACCTTGTCATCTGCCTACCTTGGCCTTTGAAAGTGTTGGTATTACAGGCTTGAGCCATCTTGAGCCGTGCCTGGCCATCTTGTCCTTTCTTTAGTGTATTTTTTATTTTTGTTGGGGTTTCGCTCTTGTTGCCCAAGGTCCAATCTCAGCTCACTGCAACCTCCGCCTGCTGGGTTCAAGCAATTCTTCTGCCTCAGCCTCCTGAGTAGCTGAGATTACAGGCATGCGCCACCACACCTGGCTAATTGTGTATTTTTAGTAGAGATGGGACTTTCTCTATGTTGGTCAGGCTGGTCTCGAACTCCTGACCTCATGTTCTGCCCACCTCGGCCTCCTGAAGTGCGGGAATTACAGGTTTGAGCCACTGCACCCGGCCTAGTGTATTCTTTTAATAGAGTTTTAGAATTTTCTGGATACGAGTCTTGCTCATTTTTTGTTAGATTTATCTCCAGCTGTCTTACATTTTTTGATGCCTTTGTAAATAGTATTTTCTTTCTTCTTTTTGCGGGCAGGGGGACAGAGTCTCACTCTGTCACTCAGGCTGGAATGCAGTGGTGTGATCTCAGCTCACTGCAACCTCTGCCTCCCAGGTTCAAGGAATTCTCCTGCCTCAGCCTCCCAAGTACCTGGGACTACAGGTGTGCACCATCATACCTGGCTAATTTTTTTTGTATTTTTTGTAGCGATGGGGTTTTGCCATTTTGGCCAGTCTGGTCTCGAACTCTTGACCTCCAGTGATCTGCCTGCCTCAACCTCCCAAAGTGCTGGGATTACAGGTGTGAGCCACCACGCCTGGCCTGTGAATAGTATTTTCCATGTTAGTACATTTTCTGTTTCTTGTATACATAGAAATGTAATTGATATTTACATATTGATTTAATGCAGATCAGTGTGAAATTTGAATAACGTTTGTTCATTTTTATACATTTTTGGGGGTTTCTATATAGAATTCATTATCTGGAAGGTAGATTTGTTTTATTTTATTCCTCTCATCTTTATAGCAGTCCCCCATTATCCTTGGTTTTGCTTCCTGTAGTTTCAGTTACCTGTGGTCAGCTGTTGTCTGAAAATACTATATGGAAAGTTCCAGAAATAATTCATAAGTTTTAAATTAGTTTTCAGTAGTAGCCTAATGCTGCATCACAATGTCTGTGTCATCAGCCTCACTTCCATCTCATCACATAGGCATTTCATCATCTCACGTCATCATAAGAAGGGTGAGTACAGTACAATAAGATTTTGAGAGAGAGACCACATTATGTAATTCTTATTATATATTGTTACAGTTACTCTATTTTTTTGGTGGGGGGACAGTATCTC